TGATGAAGTCGGTCAAGTCTTGAGAATTCTGTTTCCAGGAAGAAACGCTGATGTGGCCTCCACGGCGGCTGGGACACTTGCCAAGTGCCTATAGCTGGCGTCAGACGTGGCGCCCTGCCTTCTGGTCTCGCGGCAGAGTGGTATTGGTGAGGCGATGGCTGTCCAAATAAATCCTGTTTCTCTTAGATGGTGTTAAAATGTCCTCTGTGTGTTTTGTTCTACATAATTTTATATTTCTCAAAGAAAGTAAAATTATCTGGATCTTCGAAATCCGGACTCCAAATTGAAAGGATGAACTATTAACTACTACCCCCATCAAGAGGGCACCCATAAAACACATGCTCCAATCCCAACACAGTTGACCTGTGTTTATTAAATCACAAAGACTTTTTGTTCATCTATGGAGTAAGGGCACTAGACTGAAAAGTAAAAAAAAAAGATTCCTTTCTAACCTTCTAAGTTTTTGTTGTCGTTTTGTTGGTGCCAGGGATTGAATGCCTGGCACTTAACCACTGAGCCACATCCTCAGCCACTTTTATCTTTTTATTTTGAGACAGGATCTTACAAAGTTGCTTAAAGCCTCATTATGTTGCTGAGGCTGGCTGTGAACTTATGATCGTCCTGACTCAGCCTTCCAAGGAGCTGGGATTATAGGTGTGCACCACCACATCCAGCCTGTCTAGTCTTCTAATTCTAAAATTTTGTGATTACGTTTTTCTGTCATTAAGAATTTTCTATAGCACAAACTGTCCAAGTCGAGAGAGAGAGAGAGAGAGAGAGAGAGAGACATAGATCATAGGACCATAGCTCTTGATCAGTCACACAGACAGGGAAAGCTCATTTCTTCTTTAAACGCCAAACAAGTATTCAAGAGGAAATTCCCAATCTCCCAAAACACAAGTGACCAGAGTTAAACAGTAATCCCGCAGGGCACACCATTGCTTTTTCGACCAGCTATCTCCCCTCCCCACTGCTATTTCTTCCGAGTTTTAGAATTCTATTTTGCTCATATGTTTGATTGACAAGATTTACTTTGCCCCAAGGGTTAAGTGTTTATTGGTTTTAGGTAATCATAACCATTAGAATCCCATTGACAGTTGACAGTGATTGGTTTAGGAATGGGCAAGTGGTTACAATTCTGCCACTTGAACTGTGTGAAGTGATTCCGGAGCTTCTGCAACCATCTTGAGACCACAGGGCCTGAATGTAAAACTCTAAGCTTTACAGAGAAGAAGAATGGAAACATCCAGGCCCCTTTTTACATTGAGTCGGCTGAGTTACCAACTAGTTGGTTAACCGGTCCACTAGTTACCTGAAAATAAAACTATAGTGGGCGTGCAAAGAACCTGGTTGTTGGGTGAAAGTGTAGATTCTGGTTCAGGAGACCTGCGCAGGGGCTGTGGAC